TAGTACAATAGTACGAATAGAGCTTGTATACCAGAAATAGACAAGGAACACCAAATACTGAAATTAAAAATATTACAGACTGCAAGCCAAAACTAGGTCTATACCTCTAGCACCTTGTAACCTAAAAATATCAGGGTACAGAATACTATATACTAGACAGATATCCAATCTGTCAATATATAGAAGAGAAGTAATACGAAAATCTGCTATCTGGAAGTTATGAGATAACTTGTAACGCAACATAGCAAGCTCACACCAACATACAGGAGTACCTACCCAATGTGGTAACGGGATCAGCAAGCATACTAACTAAACTAGGCATTAATAACAGGCTTAAGCTAAGTAGTATAGAGCTTACTGGTAAGATTTATCTAAACAGACTAGCCAACATTAACCAAGATTGGAAGTAGTCTAATAAGGCTACGAGGCCTTTCTATAAAGAGGATTACTAACTTTGGGAGCTTAGGTATAAGTAGTATGAGTGATGCAGAGAATATAGTCATAGAACATACCAAAGTAGGACTTGTAAAGGGTAGAAAAATTTCAGATAAGTGCTATCTATGGACGTACTACTCCAGTAGGTTTGGATTGCAGATAATAGGATCGGTAGCTAAATAGCAGAAAGGGGACACCTGATCATGCAAGTGATGGTCTCGGCCAGAGCATACGTTATTAATAGGATCTAGGTCTGAGCTTGGTATACTTGATAGATATAATACAAAATGTAGTAATACATGTAATGAAAGTATTAATAATAAATAAAATTATGGGCAAGATCCTACTTAAACACCAAAAAAAAAAAAAAAATTTATAGTGTTTGTCAAGGTATATCTAATAGTGATAAGAATATCAAAAACAGTTTAGTAGTTGCTAAAATATCACTAAAAAATAATTGCTTGACTATATAAAATTTTTATAAAATTTTATATAGTTAGCTAATTATTTTTTAGTAATATTTTAGCAACTATTAGACTATTTTTGATATTCTTACTACCTTTAAATGTATCTTGACAAGCTTTACAATTTTTATTTAATCTAGAAAAACAATTAACTTAGTAAGAAAAAAGTTTTTTTTAGATAAATACCATATATATAATGATCTGTATTATATTATATTATGATTATACATTAGGTAACTAGTGAATTACTAATTAAGTTTTAATATTAATATAATCTTAAAATTTAATTAGTCCAAATTTTAAGACTAAATTTTTACTTGCAAGCCAAAGCTGCTACCATTACTGTTGCTCTTGCAAAGTTCACCCAAACCCCAGCATACACTTTACAGACTATTATCAGTATCTTCAACTATCTCAAACTACTAATCTAGATAGCCTGAAAGGGCTGTGACCTGCTTCTGATCCCACTATTGGGTTCTTTTTCTCCAGTACTCCAGCGGTCTAGTTGGTAGAGTACCTTGCCAAACACTTCAGTCCTATTCAGTTTTTGCTGATTCTCCTGATAATAATCCTTTATATAGTTACCGTCGAAGATCTGTGGTACCTTTTTACTCAGGTCTTGCCAAGTGGGCGTTTATCTTTCTGGTTCCTTGGATTTATACGATTCAAGAATATTTTCATGTAACTCATATGTTGCATGAATGCTCATGATCTCCTAGTCCTGTTAGTGCCACCAAGATTACAAAGATCCCATTTCAACTAATCATCGAAAGACCGTAGCTATCATACAAGTAGAATATTTGAAATTTGTCAATAGTAGATTTTGAACCCTACCTAGCCAACATTCTGCTTGGT